TTCATGCCATCTTCATTCTTGGTGTGCACCCTCGTTTTACTGGAGAATATCTCAAGTAACTTTGTAAGTCAGGCTATGTAGAAAGTAAATTTTCTGCATCTTCAACTATCAGAAAATGTCTTCTATGTGCCTTCTCACTTAATTGCTACTTTGACCAACTATAGATTTCTAGATTGAAAATAATTTCCTCTGAGATTTTGGAAGGTATTAAAGCATTGTTTTCTGATATTTAATGTTGCTGAATAGATATCTGAAGCAAATCTGATTCTCATTCCTCTTTGAGAACTCTTTAAAAAGTTTCTCTTCATTTGTGGCATTCTGAAATTTCATAGTGATATTTGAGTCTTGGTGTGGGTCTTTGTTCATTTCTTGTGCTGGGCACAGTTTGAAGGCTTGTATTCTTTTTCAACTCTGGAAAATTTTCTTTGATTATTTCTTTGACAGTGGCTTCTCTTCCATTTTCTCTGGTATCTCTCTTTCTGTCTCATGCCAGGTTGTCAGATTTTAGCGCTTCAAATCTCTCTCACAATATGTGTTTTTATCTTTTTGCTCGATATTCTGAGAAATGTCATTTAACAGTTTTATTTATTATTTTATTTGAAATAATTTTTTGTCTAAAATTTTTCTTGCTTTCTAAGTTATTGTGCTCCAAATCCTTTGTTTTCCGAATCTTTATTCTGTAACATCAATACCTTAAAGCCTAGCTTTCCATAAATATCTCATTCAGTTAACTATCTTTAAGGGTCATCTGGCATTTTTCCTTGGATTGGGATTTTTATTGGAATCACTGATTTTATAAGTGACTTTGAGGAAAATTGGTATTTTTATATCTAGCCTTCCTATCCATAATATCTCTACATTTATTTAGGTTTTCTCAGAATCATTCTTTAAATGAATATTTCATTTGACCCTTTATAACAGTTAATACATAACAATAAAAATTTATCGAAGGCATTTTTTGTGGAATATTAAGATATGGTTAAATATACTTTTTGATGTACTGATTTGACATAAGAATAGAATGTAGAGGACCTAAGGAATGAATAACCTGAATGCTCATTATGGATCTAAGATACCAGTTCTCAGCTTGAAGAGGTCTGTATTTTATTTTATTACTTAAAGAGTAGGACTTTGCTGTTAGTCATATAAGAACAGAGTTACAGATTTTAAAGTTTAAGATTCTGAGTTGCCTTATCATCAAACAGAATCATCTTATCTCTAGGAATAAGAGTTTAGAAATTTTTTTTTCTTTGAAAGGAGCTTTGCCTCTGCTTAACTCAGCCAATCTTCAGTAATAATTTCAGAATCTCTTAGAAGATCTCCACCTAAACTGGTAGAGGCCTTCCTGTGGCTCATATAGGGCATCTGCAGTAAATTCATGTCAAACTTTATTGACAAGAAACTAACTAGAACACTTGGTTAGATTTATTTTTGGTGTTGTTGTTTGTTAGAAAATATTTCTTAATTTTCCATTTTATTTTAGTTATGTCTCGTTGATTTTTCATATGATAATCTAATTATATAATCTTATGAACCTTGTCGCTTCAATTTTTTTCCCATCACAATATTAGAGAAACTTTTAACTTCTCTTTACTTTGTGTCTAAGTCCCAACCACTCCTATAATTTACTCATTTTTTATCCTTTCTAAAACTTTCTCCCTGTCCCACCTCCCTCTTTGAGTTCAAGTCTCTGTGATATCTTTATACTGTTACCTCTAAAAAGTAATTTTCCAAAGGATAAAATTCAATTTCTATTGGACACTAAACTCTAAGTCAGGGTACTTTGGGTTTGTCAAGCAATATATAGGTGCCTCTATTCCAATACGATGAATCATAGTTTGAAAGGCTCTTGAGAAAAAATCGTTTTGTATTTCTCTTACCTTTATTTCAGAAAACTATATCAATTTGAGATTTCCTAGATCTTAGTATGACTTGTAATTTTTTATTGTATGCTGGACATTTCTAGTATTATGTTATAAGACTTTACAGCCACATAGGGATGGAAATCCATGTTTTCTGCTTGGCCTCTGTTGATTTCCTGAGAGTGAGGTGATTTATTACTATTTCTGCACAGCCTTCACTGACACTACAGAGGGGGACCTGTTTATCACTATGCAGAAATGAAAGTCCTAGCTCCTCAATCAGTCTTCTTTGACATCACCCCAGCAGAGATGAAAGATATCTCATTACATTCAACAAGGGTGGAAATTTGGTCATCTCACTCAGCCATTACTGACCAGGTTGAGGGTGGACCACAGATTTTTTCTGTGGTTTGCAGGAATAGGCTGGTTGTTTGTTTGTTTGTTTGTTTGTTTTTCTCTTAAAAGGCTGCACCTTTCCTGGTTCTTTGGCTAAAGGAAGAAGATTTTATTGGGGCTTTTTTTGTCTGTGACTATTGGTATTTCCAGTTCACTGACTTCTCCAGAACCCAGTCTGGGCTATTTTAGGCAAATTTAGCCAGGAAACTCACTGCCATATCATTCCTTATGTCTTATAGTTCCTAGCCAGTCTAGATTCTCTCTACATTTCAGAGGCTTAGGTTTATTTTATATATAATGTCCAGGGTTTTGTAGCTGCACTTAAGAATAAGGAGAAGTGCATCTATTTCTGACTTGATTTCTTTGAAATGAGTATATTACTTTATTTAGCTAAAATATACTAACAATTTTTAAAACTTAAGAAAATCTTACAGAAATCATATTTTAGTATAACCAGCACAGTCTATTTACATGGACCTAATGGTCAAATTTTTTAGGGATATTCTAGAGTAGTATACTTCATAGCTATTTCATTTGTGGTATATTTGTGTTTCAATCACCTTACTTTTATGCTATTGATGCAATATTGCATTGATTCAGTTATAGAAACCTGGCACAATTGAGTTACAGAGCAACAATTTTTTTTTTTTTTTTTGCTGTTTTAATGTGCTCTTTCTGTTTCCTCCAGGGCTGGTGGGCTAGGCCTCAATTTTGTTGGTGCCAATGTTGTTGTATTGTTTGATCCTACTTGGAATCCAGCCAATGATCTTCAAGCCATTGACAGGTATAATACTGACAAAATTTAAAATGACCTGCAAATATTTTTAATCTAAACATTCTCCTGAGTTGTTTAGGTTGCTTATCATATGACTGTGATTAGAAGATAGGGAAAGCCTTGTAAAAAGTTTCTATTTGAGGTAGCCATGAACTTCTGAATCCAATTGGTAGGCTGATAATAGCCATTTATTTTCCATTCACCTCAAAATCCCATTATTATGACAGAATCGATTTAAGAAAAAAGGATAAATCTACAGTACTTCAGGAAAATAGGAAAGGTCACTACTTAATAGTAGATCAGAAGTTTTGAGAAACTCCTGGAAGAGAGAAGGCAAACAGAATCTCCGTGATGAAGGAACCAGGATTGAAAAAACACAATCCAAAGTCGACAGGAGAGCACTGAGAAATTTTATGTGTGGGGTCAGCACCTATAGGATGTGGGAGTAGACCAGAGTGCATCCTTCTGGGAAATTAACAAATGATCTCATTCTAAAACAAATTCCTTTTCTACATCTTATACACACAAAGGAGTTGGCTTTTAACAGGCTTTCCTTGATTAAAGCTGAAAGAATCATTTCATAAATTTTACAAATAAGTGGAGAATCTGACTGACAAATGGGACCAGATCATAAGCAGAGCTGAACCTGAAATAATCCTAGTTCTTCACAGGACACAAAAAAAGGAGAATGATCAAATAGACCTGTGTACCTTCATGGAAACCCTGACTAACTTTCCTGTACAAGCCACCCAGTTCATCATTTGTAATTATGAATAGAAAGTTAAGAATTACAAGACATTTTAATAAATCAGTAGTATGAAAGAAAAGAGTCAAGGCGAAAAACAGATCCTGAAGGAAATAAAATAAGAACACCTTGAAAAAAAGTGCATGGAAAATAAAAATAGAAATTCTTAGCGACTAAAACTATTGCCAAAACAAAATTACTTAATAGATGTTATGAATAATAATGTGGAGAGGATTAAAAGTGGAAATTGTTCTGGAAAATAAAAGAAATGAGTATAAATAATGACTTGAGCAGGAGAGAAAACATACATAGACATATCTTGGTGATATTTCTAAGATCCAAAGGTAAAGAGAAGGGCTAAAAGATGCCAGAGTGAGAAAGAGGAAGAGAAAACTTTTTATAAAAACATAGACAAAGACAGTAAAACAGTTTATCAACAAAGAAATGAGAATCACACTTATTTCTGCAGATCGGACTTTGAAGAACAAACTTTTAATCTGCATTATAGGATTCTAGAAAACAGGAGTCGTCAAAGTGACAATATTCATATGACTGAAAGAAAATGATGGTATGATCAGTGGCTAAAATATCAATATGTGAGGGCAAAATAAAGCAACCGTCGATGTCCAGTAACTGAAAAATGTATTACTCATGGTCTGAAAACATTATTTAAGGGCGTACTCCAACAAAAGAAATATTATTCAAATACATTTGGAAATCTACACGAAGACCTTTTTTCTAGAAGAATTATAAAGTATTTACATTGACTAAAGATGAAGTGAAAACATAATCAAATCATCTTAGAAGAAACTGAAAAGATAGTCAAAGATTTACAACTTTATAAAGGATTTAAGCCCAGTTTTGTGCATTTTTTTTAATGGAGATATTTTGTTTATTTTTTAATGCTATACAAATAAATATCAAAAATACTTACTGATCACTGAGCACTTATAAGATGTCCCGTTAGATGCCATAGCAGTCAAAGCCAATCAGATGTAGATTTTGTCCTTACAGAAATTAAAATCATCCATTACTATCTGCTGATAAATATAATTTAGCTTATAATACACTATTATTAAGATAACCCCACTTATAATACACATAATACTATGCTGGGTATAAAACAAAGCAAATTAGCCTTAGTTCTTTAATTGGTAGTAAGAATAAGGACAAAGAAATAACAGCAGCATTTATTGCATGTTTACTGTGAGCCAGAAACTGTTCTAAGCACTTTCTATGGATTATCTCAGTTAATACTTTGAATATCCTTATGGAATAGGCACTATTATACCAATTTCACATATGAGGAAATTGAGGCACACCAAACTTAAGTAATTTGCTCAAATTCACAGCCAATAATTGGCGTGTCAGGATCTGCATCCACGCAATCCGACTGCAGAGCCTTCGTGTTTAACTGGCCTCTGGCCACTGTCAAGAAAAATGGTCAAATGAAAATCACAGAAAAAGATCAGGCATTTTTCTTTGTCTTATGATATTTGTTGTAATTTTGTTCTATTTCATCTAGGCCATCAAGACCTAATATCTTATTTATCCTAGTATTCCCAATGAAGCACAGTGCTGTGGAACTCAATGAACATTAGCTGACAATAAAACTAAATGAACAACATTCCTCTCTCTTTCCCGCTCCTTTCATTGAGTCTGGTGGGAGGAACCAAGAAAAGAAATGAAGATCTTGACCTCCATACTATATAACAATTTCTCAACACTTGTCTCTACATAGTAAAAGCCCTATCATGTAATGTATCTGCTTTATGTACCAAAAAATTATTGAAACATAGGTCCAAAGTAACATGTATTTAAGGCTTTCTCTAAAAAGGTTAAAGAATAAATATTCTGGCAGAATCTATCTCATCCACCAAACAATTGGCTGAGCATATACCCAAAAGACTTTTTAGATACATTTTTTTAGAGGCCAAATTCATTGTGGTAGAGAAAGTGATTATGAGTCCCTCTGTATGCAGGCTGCAGGACAAAATTGACAATACAGTAACTTAGCCCTCTCTGTGCTGTGTCAGGAGCCCCCATACTCCTCTGGTGGTGTAAGATTTTCAGAACCCCAAGATGCCCTCTAGTAAACCTCTTCTCTGTAAAGGGGAATAGGTAAATGAGGCAGAGGGAACACCAACTATAACAACATAGAGTAACTTTACAAGGTCAAAATTAAATGTCCCCCAAATTGTAACATTTTCAAGCATGAAGCAGTATGGCCTTGCCCCTGATCCCCCTGGCGACTGTAACAGGTATTTAGAAGCAGATGACCTCATTCAGAGCATCCAATAAAACCTCCACCTGGGAGAAGCTGCAGGGACTAGACCCATGGTTAACCAGTGTGGTGAGTCAGGTTAGAGTTTTAATTAGCACTGTGGTTCCTATCAAAACATCTAAGGTACTAGTCAACTGAGTGATTCAGTCCGACAGACCCCATGGAAATCTCTGGATGGGGGCTATAAATCTGTAGTACTATAGGCTTGCCAGTTGATTAACTGCTTTTCCTCAGGTTTTTTTTTTTTAAGTTTCAACAAACTGCACATAGTTAAGTGTACAATTAATAAGTTTTTATACATGTATACAACCATCACTGCAATAAAGATAATAAACATATCCCTCCTCCCCAAATTTTTCTTTGTGCCACTTTGTAATCCACCCCTCCTTATCCTTCTCAGGCCCCTATTCCCAGGTAACCACTGATATGCTTTCTATCATAGATTACTTTGCATTTTTGAGAGTTTTATATAAATGGAATCATTTCGGAACATTCATAAGTTTAAGCAAAGAAAAATCTGAATTTGGGAAAAGTTTTTGGGCACTGAAAGGTGATGTTTATAACAGAAATGAAGTTGATATGTACATTTTTCTATAATACTTTTGTCTTCTATGACTGATCTTTTTATATGAATTTCTATTTTGTATTATTATTAAATAGTATATATAACAATTTAAACGTAAAGCTTTTCTTTTTAAATTAATTAAAATTTTACTAAGGTTCCATTTTTATTTTACAAAAGATATTGCCTGCATCCAAAGTTGTTTCACTTGATTTTTGTTTGTTTTTTATTTTAATCTTTTTGCAGAGCATATAGGATTGGGCAGTGCAGGGATGTCAAAGTGTTTAGGCTGATATCCTTGGGAACTGTGGAGGAGATCATGTATTTACGACAAGTATATAAGCAGGTAAATATATTTCTCTTTTTCTAATTAAAAAGTAAACATTTCTCTATTTTCAAAAATTAGGAATAAATTTGTGTAAAAATATATTTTTAATTTTACTCTATAATATGGAATTTAATAAGAGTATGAAATATACTCTAGAATACACTTCTATAAAACAGATTATTTCTTAGGTTCATTGAATTGTAGAGCCGAAAGTTTCTTAGAGCAGTACTTCTTAAACTTTAATATGCACAGGAATCACTTGGGGATCTTTAAAATACAAATTCTGATTTAGTAGGTCTGGGTGGAGCCCAAGCAAGATTCTGCATTTTTAACAAGCTCCAAGGAGTGTAAACATACTAGTCTGTAGACCACAATTAGAGTAGCAAGGTTAGTTTACCATATTGTGGGCCAAGGCATGGTATGCCACAGATGGGATACAGGTGCCCTGAGACATTGATCCCACAACTCTGGGCAGCAAGATTACCTAAGCCAGCTTTCAACCTTGAGTAACAACCTCTGTTTACTCCAGATGTTCATGTTACCATTTTCTGTATGTGCCATACTTAAGAGGAGTGGAGAGAAATGCCTTAGAGATATCTAATGCAACTATTTCATGTAGTACATAATGAAACTGGGACACAGCCACTCCAGAAAATGGAATTATAGGAATGGAACTCAAGTGCCCTAACTACTCTGCTTGTGCTTTTAGTATTTATCTAAAATTGCATTAATTCTTTAATATCTTTAAGTGTATCAATTACTATTCCATTTATGTCTTTAAATAAACAAAATTTATTTAGTTTATAACTGCTCACTTGAGAAGATCTGGAATGAGGTTCAAGTTTAATTATAAATGTTAAATTTGAATTACTCCCTATATATTGAGTTGGCATCTCTTTAAGAGCAAACATCTGCCACATGTGGTGGTAGTTAACCTAAGAATGATCCAATCTTAAATTAATGCTGTTTTCTTAATTCTAAAAATAGAATTGTACACAGAAGTTTTTGTTTTTTTCTTAAAGCGTTTAGCTCTGTAAGAAGCCTTTCATCTTTTTGTTCCTTGGTATAACACAACTACTTAAAAGTTATTTTTAAACATATTTAACCAATCTTGGAAAAAAGTAGGGTATTATTTTTTCAACTTAGGAGCAGTTCTTTAGAATACTATCTTAGCCTTATCACAAGTAAGAATCTTCAATCATACAGTAATTTTTCTCAATCTCATTACTATATACATGCATATATATATGTATATCCTTTTTAACTATTCATCTGACTCTATAATGAAATAAAATTGCCTGTTATATAATGTATATAATAATATGTAATAAGGCTTACGAAGAGGATAATTTGTTTTCAGAACTTTGTATGATCTAGTTACTGATTAAAATATTCTTTAAATGCATGCCACTTAGGGAAGATTCAGCCATACAACTCGGTAGACACAAATAAAGATAAGATGACAATCATGTGAGGAAAAGGCATTAAATATGATTAAAAGATTGATTGGAGTTTGAACCAACAGTACATATGGTGTACGCCCTCTAGCCACCCAAGTGTTTCTCAAATCTTCTGGGGAAAAAAAAATTCAAAAATGACATTAAAAAAAAAAAAGCTATAAACATGTTAGAAAGCAAGACAAGAATAGTTTTCTCTATGGCCCAGAAATTAAAAAGAACCCTGAAAAACAAAAAGCAATTGAGATCAGATTAGAAATAGAAACCAAGTTAAACTCAGTCAGGAAAAGGCTACCAAAAAAAGTAGGTGTAACTTCTTGATATTCTAAACTTAGAGTCATCAGATAATAAAAATATAAAGGAGCGTTGGAATAACTGCGGTACTCCCTCTTTAGGCTAGTTTAACCCTTACAATCTTATCCCATTGAACCAAATTGCAGCCAACAGAGGTATCTTCTCTCAAGTAGGAACACTAATTAGAAATACTGAAAGCAATGAAGCAAGACAGAGCTCTAAATTTTTGCTGAATACAAGAAGAAAGTTCCACCTATTGCCCAGAAAATTAAATACTTACACCTCCCTGACTTTGAATAATCACTTTAGTAGGCTGAGATAAGCACATAAGATAAATGAAGACAGATAAATACCCAACAAAAATCATTATTGAACAGTTTAGGAAAATAAACACTGAAAATGGCACTCAAAGATATCAAGGCCTAATCCCTGGAACCTGTAAATGTTACTTTATATGGGAAAAAGGGTCTTTGCAGATTTGATTAAATGAATGATTTGTAGATGGGGAGATTAGCCTGGATTATCCCTGTGAGCTCTAAATCACAATTGTCCTTGTAAGAAAGAAGCAAAGAGAAATCTGACAGGACAGAAGACAAGGGACTGTTACCACAGAGGCAGAGATAGGAGTGATGTACTCGCAAACTAAGGAATGCGGGCAGCCACCAAAAGCTGAGAGGAGAGGGATGATTTCTCCCCTAGAGCCTGGAGAGAGCATGGCCCTGCCAAAATCTTAATTTCAGCCCAGTGATACTACTTTCAGACTTCTGGCCTCCAGGCTGTAAGAGAATAAATTTCTGTTTTATTAAGCCACCAAGTTTATGATAATGTTACAAGAGCCACAGGAACTAATACAGGCACTCAACAAAAGAATTAACATCAGAGAAGACAATAGAAGAGAGTAAAAGAGATTTTAAAGGAAATATAAATAATGTATTCAAAAGATAAGTGAGATTGTAGGACCCTGGAAACAAGAACAGTACTAGGAAAGGAATCCACCAGAGATCCAAAAGATGAAAAATTCCAGAGGTAGGCTGAGTAGCCAAGAGTTTTCATCTAAATAGCCAAGCAATTCTAGATTACAGAGCAAAAAGACAGAGCTAGAATACACGTTAGAAAAGTTACCATAAGTGAAGGCTAGATCTACAAGTTCCAGTATCAATCTTATAGTTGAATAAGGGAACAGAAGAAAGAGAAAGGAAGAAGCCCCAAATAAACAAAGAAACATGTAAAAAGTAGAAAACAAGTCTATGATTTATATGGGCCCACCAAGTGCTAAATAGGATGAATGAAAATAGGTCCACACTTAAACCATCTTTCTATAATTGTAAAACACCAAGATAAAGTGAAAAAATTATTTAAATTTCTATAGATAAACTTTCTGGAGAGAAAAAAAATTATGTACAATAATACTAGAATTAGATGGACATGTAATTTCTTATTGGTGATACTTAGGAACAATAACTTCAAATGAGGGAAAATGATAGTTCTGTATTATCAAAGAAAATAAATTTTTAATTCAAAACTTTCCACAAAGAAAGATCCTAGCATAGAAGACTTCAGCAGTGAATTCTATCAAGCATTTAATATTCTTTTTGGAAACAAGAAGAGGGAACACTTACAACTTATTGTAGAAAGATAAAAGAATCCTGATACCAAAACTTGACAAAGATGTTACAAAAACAGACCAATATCTCTCGTTAACATAAATATAAAAATCTTTAACAAAGCCTCTGTTAGAAGTTGAATTGTGCACCCCCGCAAAAGATATGTTGACGTTTTAACCCCTGATGCCCAAAATGGGATCTTATTTAGAAGTAGGGTCTTCACAGATGTAATCAAGTTAAAATAAGGTTATACTGCATTAGGATGGGCTCTAATCCAATGTCTGACATCTTTAGTGGAGGGAAATTTGGATACAGACAGACACAGAGAGAGAACACCGTGTGACAAGGGAAGCCAATATTGGAGTGATGTGGCTGCAAGCCAAAGAACACTAAGGATTGCCAGCAACCACCAGAAGATAGGAAGAGGAAAGGAAGGATTTTCCATTAGAACCTTCAAAGAGAGCATGGCCCTGCCAACATCTTTATTTCAGACTGCTAGCTCCCACAATTGTGAGAGAATAAGTTTCTGCATTTTTAAGCTACCCAGTTTGTGATACTGTGTTATATAGCAGCCTCGGCTAATGGAGTCTCTAAGGCGAATACTGTAAATTCTACTACAATTTTTTTTTTTAATGAAACTTCTATATGACAGAGTAGGAGGAAATATTTATATATTTTACAAAGGATTAGTATCTACAACTTATAAAGAACTCCCACAAAACAAAAAAGACTGTGATTAGATACTTCACTAAAGAAAAAATACACATAGTTAACACATTTATGAAAAGATGCTTAACCACAATCGTAATCTAGAAATACATAATGAAATAAGATTGTGTTCTGTACATTCTGCCAAACACTTTTTGTTTTGTGAGGTTTTTGTTTGTTTATTTTTTAATTTTTTTATGGAGGTAGGGGGATAGGTATTGTTCTTTGTTGGTGGGGGTATTACAAAGAGGCACTCATATTTTGAAAATACAACTTGGTAAATTTATTTTACAGGCTAATTTAAGAGCATTTTAAAACACAGTGCCTTCTCCCTATCTACCTGACACAAATGCTCTCACATATGCATAGTGAAGGATGACAAGGATTTATATTCAGTGTTGTTAGTATTTGTTTAAAAATTGAAAAAAGAAACAGTCTAAGTGCCCAATAGTAACAGAATAATTACATAAATTTTGATACACCATATTATAGAATACTCTGCAGCAACAACAAAAAAGTTATAGTCTGAGCAAATGTACTAATATGGTAAGATCTGTAAGATTTTTAAGTGGAGCAAAAAAAATTAACTTGCAGAACAAGTATATCAATTGTTTATGCATAAAACTACTTCTCTTTGTATGTGTAAATAACTCTAACTGCATTAACAGAGATCTAGGAGGATACACCTAAACATTACACTGTTGGTTAGAGTGATAAGGGATGATCTGTATTGTTTAAGGGGTACTTCCATTTTGTTATGTTTTCTTTGTACTCGTTGAGATCAGACATGCAGGTATTTTATACTTTTTTAAAATAAAAACATCACTTATATAGCAGCTGTACTCCTTCAGGTTTGGAACATTGCATGTAATCTAAAGATTGGCATTCAGAAATTTATCTTTTATATTTATATAATTTTATTTAGGAATAGGTTTGTATTTACAGAAGAGTTGCA